AAAAAAACGTTCAATACTATTGACTTATCAATCATATATCAAATGACAGTTACTTGACAACTCCTGTTAGAGAAAATACAATGTGTAAAAAAAAAAGTATGACAAATTCAGAAAATGAACTATCTGCGACAATTATCATGTCGGATTTTTTACATTCAATCGAAAACATCCCAACCAGCAGAATTGTTTTATAATTTCAAGGTTGAGTTAGGTTAGGCCCAAAGTGAGTGGGTCTATTCGACCCTCCACCGAAACCCGCAAGAGTTTATTGTGGCTCACACCTATTCACGTTCGACCAAATGAAGCCAGCTTCTTAACGTGGCAAGATCAGAACATCAAAAGTGGAAGACAAGCCTTTATGGAAGGTTGGTCCACTGATTTGAAAATACCAGTTGGAAAAGGTCGTCGTCTTATCATCACTCACATAGGCAGCAGTGAAGGATTCATGAAAGATAGATTGATGGTGCTTGAATCGAAGGAAAAAGGGGGTTATCATCAAGAAATGGATGCCACAGTATTCGAAGAATGGTTTGAAAACATACTTGTAAAACTTCCGCAGGGATCCGTAATAGTAATGGAAAACGCAAGTTACCACAGTAGATGAGTCGAGAAGCTGCCGATTTCGTGTTGGAAGAAAGCAGATATTACTGAGTGATTACAAATGAAAGCTATTGCTTTTGAATCGACCATGTTAAAAGCGGAGCTCCTCAACTTGGCTAAACGTCATAAGTCAAAATTCTTCAGGTATGTCACCGATGAGATGGCGAAGACTAAAGGTATGTCGGTTCTTCGGTTGCCGTCTTATCACTGTGAATTGAATCCAATAGAGTTGGCTTGGGCTCAAGTTAAAGGATTCATTGCAAGGAACAGTCGACCAAAAAGCTTGGGAGAAATGTATCCACAAAACTGATTCATCCTGTGAAGAATCACTCAAGGAATCCCTGTAGACTTTTTTCAGATTAAAATTATCGCAATGTCTTATTCGAAGTAAGTATTCCCATTAAATCTATAAAATTGTTTCTGAATCAACTATAAAATCCAATAAGGAATATGAATCTTCATTTCCAAACCAACAAGAATATATAAAGTGTATCTCTCAGTGCAGCCACACTTTTCTACTACCTGAAAATGTCAAAGTCGAAGCCGAAACGTCGAACAACGCAAAATTTTGAACGCGGTTCAACTCGAAATCAGATGTACAAATTTCTAACCGCGGAAATCTATTCTATTTGTATACTTATCTGGTGATGTTTCGAATACTTTATCCATCGTCATTATCATACCGACGATCAATTTAATATTATCAGTGTCAATGATAATAATAATATCAAATTTATTTACATCAAAAGACGAATCATAACTACAATTATAATGTTTTAATTTAAATAGGTTGAATAAAGGAAATGGATAGAGTCTTTAAAACGTCACCAGATGATACATATTTCTTTCAATATGCAAAATCTTTTAAATTCAAGTTAATGACAAATTTGATTTTTTCTCAAAAAGCTAATTTATCAAATGCAGTAACTTTTTATAGATCTGTAAAAGGTAACAATTCTAAATAATAAAAAACTATTTCAAATATAAATTGTCCTTCCCAAAATAAAATATTTAAACAAAATTAGTTTCCACCATATTTTAATTATCTTCTCATCATACAAAATATATCAATGAAAAATTTATATTTAAACTCCCAGTCCGACGCCTTTTGATATTATCTTAAACGTAATATCAGAACAAACATCGAGCGGTTCTTTTTTCGCATTCTTTGTCGGTGTTTTCGCGTTCGCGTGTAAAAGACAAAGCCATAATTCAGATGTAGGATCTTCAAAAAAGTCTTTTATTGATTTGGGACATTTTTCAATGCTCAAAAAATAATTCATAAACGGTTTAAATTTCACAAATTCCTTTAGAGCTTCAACTTCAACCGTATAAATATAAAAAAATGAATATATTTTTACGTTAATGCTTTCGTAATCTAAAGGTAGGCCGTCTGCAGCAGATTTTATAGCACTGTGAATTATATGAGCTCTACATCCGATACCTATCAAGGTTTTTTTTAGAGATGATTTTAGAAAACGGGACTATTTTACGCCCCAGATCATTATTTGGGGACAACGGGACAGATGGTCGAATAAAGGGACAGTCCCGTTCAAAACGGGACCTCTGGTCACTTTAGTTATGAATAAATATTTATGCCCTCAGGCAGGAAGTTTCGTAGATTTGTTTTGATAAGGTTATTTACTCTGTAGTTGCTGTAATCTGTGTAGCAAGATTAATTATTAGTTCTATGGGTGCCTAATATTACAAGTTCCTGATAGACAATAAATTTTCCATCAAATGCATTGAAAATATTATTTGAGTAGGTTTTCATGAATAGTTTTATAACATCATTGTTGTGAATTGTACCTTCATGCAACAAAAATTTCATCTGTTGAACGTTATTGAAACTTACAGTTTTTTTGAACGAAGATAAAAGCTCAAAAATAGTTTTGAAGAATTAAAGACACTTCACACTTCAAATGCTACTTCGTAGGGCCCTTTGTTATTTAAAGATCTAAATTCTTTTTATTGTCTACTGAAAAGTTTTTTAATATTAGATGAAGGAAATTCATTAAAAAAACTCAAAATAGCCAATAATAATATTTTTTCATATGCATACTTCCAATATATGGACTGATTACATTTTTGATCCTTTTATTAATGGAGATGCTTCATTTGTTTCTGAAACGAATTTGGATCAAATATCACTAAATTGAAGATACTTTGAGAAATATCGTCCTTTTATTTGTATGAATTAGGTGAGAAATATTAAGTTCCGTGT